TAAGATTTTCAATGTGCCCCAATGTGAGGATCGTACCCTGGCTTGATTGTTGCTTTGCTCTCTTACCAGCAAATATGAAGGTGCTTTGTAAGCTACCAAATACAATGAAAATGTTACTTTTGCTGCCACCACCTCTGCTGACCAATATCGTCACTGTCATCATCATAACCACCATCATTATCACTCGTGCCTTTTATTCAAAGCAGGTCCATCTGTCCTCCCTCACTGCCTGGGAGAGCAATGAGAGGCATTTTAAAATTTTGATTCTGAATTCTGGAAGTTCAAACTTCCAAAATGCACAGTGCTTGGTCCTAAGCTGGAATTAGACTCCGCTATGAAGGAAATTCCTAACCCCCACTCCACCCTGACCCCCACTGCAGCGCATCACACTACTGTGGCCTGGGCCACACTGAACAAAGTCTGGTGGCAGAACTCATCCTTCCCATGCAGGCCACCCCTAAGTGGAAATCTACATGGCTCGGAGAATGCTTCTTCACCTAAACCACCTGTGTTGTTGTATTTATTAAAAGAGTTATGAAATGAGAAGGTTGAATAGGGCCAGAGCAGGCTCCACAGGGAAGGGAAAGGAGAATCTAGAAGAACTGCAATGACCTACTTACTGCCTCATTTAGGTGAAGTAAAAGGAATCTGACATTTTCTCTAGTTTCTATCCAGTTCAATGGTAGGATCTGGCTCCAGTGAGCAGGACGGTGTGTCTATTCCCAAGAAGAAAGGTCTGGAATCATTTTGATGAAAAACAATAAGACCCTGCCACCAAGGTGCTTTGGTTTTCAACCTGTTAATCAATTTCTCTTCTAAAATAATCTCTGTTTAGAAGCCAGTATCAATTTTCTATTTGGCTTTTCTTACTTTTCTCCCTGCCTGCATCCATTATATAAACCCTAAAGGCTTTTATGCAGGGAGCAGTTAGGAACTGTTTCCTTCTGCGTTTATATCATCAATAAATATTATGAAGTAATTTGAAGCACTTGAGAAAGTTTCTTTTTTGCCAGTAGTACTGCATTCATTGAGGTGGAGCTCTTAATGTTTTTTACTTCATGTATTGATTTGGGTGAAATTCCACATATTTTCTGACATTGTATGTCCAATTTTATCTCTATGATTTTCTTGGGAGAATTTCTACAATTTTCACCCATTGTTGAAATAATCTGTGTCTGTATTTGTTAAAAATTACAGTTTAGGGGCTGGGGAGATGGCTCAGTAGGATAAGTACTTGACTGGCAAACGCAAGGATGTGAGTTCAATCCTCAGTTCCACCAAAAAAAAAAATTACAGTTTAAAGAATGGATGTATAACATGAATCTTTAAAGTTGAAAATATTGTATTTTCCTATTATAAATTTATCACGTATGCACGTGATAAAGAACATGATTTAAAGAATAAAACCTATTTTCACTGTTAAAAATATCATTCACAGTCTTCTTCATTACAGAGACCATACACATTGAAGTATATTTTCACTGTATCAAGAGACACACATTCTAATTTATTTAAATACTCTTTTGACAGCGCATATGGTATCGCAGAAGGAATCCTCAGTGGCATCTGAAAATTCTGCTGTGATTCCCATGCTAGCACCAACCAACTCATCTGACCTTACACAAATTCAACTTAGCTCTCAGAGCTTTGCTCTGTTCATGTGGAAAATGTATGAATGGAAACAGCTACTTGAACCTCTACCATAGCACAAGACGTAGCTGTGGATTTCAGTTCGGGATCCCATAGGCCTACACCAGTGAGTGGAGGGTAATCTGTCAAATCACATGGTGTCCATTAATGTTTTTTACTTCATGTATTGGTCTGGGTGAAATTCCGCATATTTTCACCCAAACAGTGAAATATTTGTTGTCCAAATTCCATTATCCCAGCATTTTTGAATTTGTATGACTACAGCTACATTTTCACTCGACATTTTCATAAGTTGAAATAAGGTGTTTGGCATTTATAATCTTCCTTAATCTAATTAGGCATTCGCTTGAGGAATCTGATGTCTCACTTGTCTAAAAAGTTCCCAAAAGTAGCTGTAGGGGTCTGGGAAAAAGCTCAGCAGCATAAGTGTCTGCCTGGCAAACATAAGGTTCTGAGTTCAATTCCCAGTAACAACAACAAAAAAAAATTGGTTGTGATTATGGGATTGAGATAGAGAAAGATACCAGAGTACCTTAGGAACACTTCAGTTTAAACCATCTGTAAAGGGGAAATATGATATTGCTATTGTGTGTGCTAAAACTAGCGCTGTGACCTTAACCATATTCCAACTATTGGGATTTTTTTTTTTTTTTTGTTCCTCGAATGCCTTCAGGGCACTTTTGGCCAGCGGGAGAGTTGTGAGGTTCGAACTCCAGCAACCTGAGGCTGACAGCTTTGTGGAAGCAGCCACTTAAAGGCCTGAGCTAGGGCCAGGCCCCCCAACTATTGGGAATAAAAGAAAAACTTACTGTTTCTGTATGTCTTAAATTTATTTCACATAACATTTTAGTGAAAGCTAGCATGGTACAAAAAATATACAAAATATAGGGCCTTTGAAGACAGAATTAAGTTCCAATTTGATTTTCTCTGACTTTTGTAGTCCAGACCTGCTAGTTGGTCTTTCTGAGTTTCCATTTTTTCCTTTTAGAAATACAGTAGGCACACAATCAGTATTAATCATTAGTTTATCAACTTTAGAATTCTGTACACTAAGAAGACCGGAAAATAGACTGTTATATAAAATTTGGAGAGCATTTCTTTTCTTGAGAAAAGTAACAAATAAAGTTCTCCAGCTGATTTTATTGAATCATTCCGAGCTGGCACGCTGGGTGGCACATAGAAAGCCCTCATGAGAAATATTTTAACTAATTTATTATAGTATCTTTTAAAAAATGTATTTAGTAAAGATCTACAGGGTCTTACTATACAGATCAGCTCAAAGTGATCCTCCTGTTTTCAGCCTCCCAAGTGTTGATATTACAAATGTGCATCAACATGCCCAGTCTCAGTCTCAGTCTCAGTGTGCCCCAGGGGCGGGGCCAGCATGGCATGTGATGCCAAGGATCAAACCCTGGGCCTTGAGTTCTGCCTAAGCAGGCGCTTTAGTCCACTGAACTATCTGGATGGCCCACTATAGTATCTTATGTGCCGCGTTGACTTTGGCTTCTTAAACGCTACTTCCCTTACCATTTTGCGTACTTGATATGTACATCATTGCTGCTCCTGGTGGCTACACTACACACAGATCAAAACTGCTTCCTACTCAGGGAGAAGGGAAGGGCGCCCCAGCCACCATCACAGCTCTTGCAGCCACCTCATCAATCCAAGGCTCCCTCCACCATCTCCTGCTCCTGATCAAACCCCGTTGCTACATCACTGCCGACACTGTGTGGTGCTGAAATTTGATACCTTTAGCAACACTATATAATCATTGCGAGTCTGACAGTTTATAAAATAAAAATATGTAAATATTTGATAAGCAATTGTTAACATTTACTTTTTAATTGTAAACTGACATAGCAGTTCTGATGTGTAATGTGAGACATACTTTATTGGTTATCTGTTTTTTCAGTGAACTAGCTATGCATATGCTTGTCCATTTCCGTGATTGATTATCCTTTTCTTATGAATTTGTCACATTTAATTACTTGATCATCCCCTTCAGAAGCAGATGAAGATGTGATTATGACCACCCATGCATGCCTTGAGGGAGCACAAGCTGGTTTCCACTCTGCCACCCAGAAAGCAAAGGTTTGGCTTGTACTGTGGCTAAACTCTCTGGCTTCGGATGGGCACCTCTCTGCTTGTTCAGCTGCCACCACCCCCAGCCTCCTGAAGGTTCTCTCCCATGCTCTTTCATACTGTGGTTACCAGAGTGTGCATCAATACACATGGAACACTCTGAATTTAAAAAACAAACTGCAAAGGCCAATGTCCAATTCTTATGTAAGGAAAAATGAGCGCTTCATTCATTATAAGTAGTATTTATATTTCAAACTTAAATGAAGCCATATACCTCACTGGTCACTAAATATCCTAAAATTTAAAGCCACAAATATCACAGAGAGGTTTCATGGACTTTGTTCTAAGATTTGGATGAGTTTTTAGAGCAAAATATGAGTTTTATAAGGTCCCTTATTTGTGTGTCCTAAAACCTGGAAAATGGATCATTTGCAGGCAGGTATGAAGATTTTTTAAAACTATTTAATAAGAAGCTATTTTAGACTTTTTAAATGAAAATAAAAGACCTGGGTTTTTTGATGTTCACTTGGTATCGGTAGCCAGTGTTTATACAGTGGATAAAGAGTTTGTAAAGCAGAGAGTAATTCTAGGAAATCAAGAAGCTAAATACAAAAGTTATTTGTGGATCTGGTTTACCTGGCAAAAGTACCTCCTAACAAGATCCAGTTTACAGTTTTTAATGCCTTGAATCTGTATACTACTGGACAATGTTTAACATACTTCAGTGCAGTTCATTTCAATTGATCCTTACTTCGTATTTTCTCTCCCTTAATAAATAATAAAACAAAAACTCGGAAAATTTAAAGGATTATTATGTGGCAAGCATAAGACAAAAATATTACAATAAACTATTGTACAGATACTGTATTTCAGGGCTCATGATGAGAACTTTCTACGTCCTATCTCATGTAATTTTCACATTAGCTCTAGGAGGCAGATATACCCATATCATTGTTATATTGATTCCCATTAAATGGATGTTCAGCTAATGAATGCCTGAGGGATTTTAATCCAGGCATTCTGACTCCAAATCTCTCAGCAGTTTCTAGTCATAGTGCTATACAGTTTACTTTCCAGGCCATATTTTTAAAGACTTTTTCCTCCTTTTCTTCTTTTATTTCCCTGGCTTTCTCTTCCCTTTGACCATTAATTTTAAAGGGAAAACCCCAAAGCATAGCCCCGGAGTTAGATCAAACTTGGGTTCCATGCTTACCTCCACTGAGAGGATGAAGTGGAGTGGGGATGGGGAAATCCTTCCAACAACTCACCAGGTCCAAGGCGGCTGCTAGGATGGAGGCATCAGGTATAGTTCCAGGCTCACAGCAGTTTAATAGAAACTGAAAGCGTTTCATGCCTTGTCGGATAGCACCAAGATTCACCACATTTTTGCTTTTTCCGCCATCTTGGTTGGGAGAAAGATGGTCATCAAAACTGTGACAACCTGCAGCAGTTGTGCCATTGTGGAGGAATGAAAGAGAGAGAGAGAGACATATGTCACACATTTAAAAGAGCTTCAAAGATATGCAAGGATGTGCTTTTGGCATGTTGAAGAGTTGGCATGAAAACTTTCTTCCCCACACTTCTGCCTTCCTCTCCACTTTCCAAATGTTTGATTTGAGCTCCAGAGACTTTTAGGAACCTGACACGTGGCACCGGAAGATGTAGAGTTTACCTAACTACAGAGGTAGGGTCTTACCACTTGGAGGACTGGTCTCGCTAACAGTGGCATGAGCTATTGGGAGACTTAGAATGATTCTTCCCGCAATGAACAACTAGCTCCTGTTGTTATGGAAGACACAGTCACTGCAATTGAAGTTCTGTTATAAGAAATTTGTATGAAGCACAGAATTATGGAGAACACAGATGCCTCTTTTCAGTTAGGATGCATAGAATCACTGACGGTTGGGGTTGTGGAAGGCCCTGGGGATTGGTCATTCAATGCTAGGCTTTCCAGAATGGGTGTTCATCAGAATCACCTAAGTAATTCCTAAATCTCACATTGTCCTTCAGAATCAGCATTCTGGAGGTGATGGGTAAAAATATGTACTTGTGGAGCTTTTTGGCAGCCCTTACCTTGCACTGTGAGTACAGATTTGGGATTCCCTGGCCCTTCCATTCTTCTTTCTCTGCAAGTAGATTGCTTGTGAATAGGCTCATTGTGGAGCACATTAAAATTCAGAATATAAAATTGTATTACTATAAAAGGTATAAGGGATATATGCATTATATATGCATATATATATATTATATATATATTCTACATTATTTCAATGCAGAGAGTCTGAAATAGAAAAATATGGAAGACTGAATTTTCTTTCTTTTTTAGTTCCCAGATACATTTTTCAAAAACTTAAATATTTCATGGTGCTTTTCTTTTAGTATATACCCCTTCTTTCTTTTTTTGAGACAAGGTCTTGCTCTGTTTTCCAAGCTGGTCTTGTACTCCTGAATTCAAGTACTGAGTTCAGTACTTCTCCAGCCTTAACCTCCCAGATGTTGAAATTACAATTGCATGCCATCATGCTCAGAGTCATCTTAAATATAATGCTATAATATTTAATACAGTTTTAAAATAAAACTGTGCCCATTCTCATAATTCTAAAATGTTCCTATGACACTGAAGAATATGCATCTCCAGGATGCCATGCACTGATAGAGCACTTACACGAATTTGAAATACTGCCATTCATTTGAGGTGTTGCCTCCACCTGGTCCTCACTGAGAACTCACACAGCTGACTTTCAGAAATGACTTTCTTATCTCTTCAGTCAAGAATGTCCTGCCCCTTCTATCCCATTGTTCTACTTCCATGCCTGCAGCCACTGCTCTCAACTGAAGGGTCTGACCCAATTAGGTGTCACCCTTGCCTGTCGCAGAATGGTGAAGAGTTTCTCCCCACTGGTAAACACCAATGTTTGCAAATTTGCTTTCAAAAATGAAATCCCCAGTGAGGTTACCCCTGAAACAATTTGTTCTTGTCATAGTCAAGAAGGTGCATATACTAACAGCCTGGATGCATCACGACAACGTGTCACATGCAGCGTGCCAGCCATCAGATCCACAGGTCAAAAAAAGTAAGCACCTACTCTCCTGGGACACATCCCCTTGGAAACAGTTGCAGTGCAGCACAAAGAGTCCTTTGGATTTTTTTTTGCTACCAGATAAGAAAATATGACATGGCTTAAAAATAATCACTAAATTGTTAGCCTGCCTAGCATTTTCAAAATCATATAGAAATATAAAACTGTACCCCTTAAGGACAGATATATGCCCTGAGAGGTGTCTCATGCAGTGAATTTGTCATTGTGTGAATGTCGTAGAGTGCATGTCACAGACTAAGATGGCTACAACATCAACTGGCAGTAGAATCTGATGGGCCAAGGCTACAAAAGCAGCCTGCCAGTGAAGGAAACATGGGTACTTAGTGCGTGATTGAAAAGGCATACATCTGAAATTTATTTTAAAACATATCAAGAAACCCTACAGAAGATAGATGATACAAGCATGATAAAATTTTGCTCATCATTGCAAATTGGTCGTGAATAGTTAAGGCCTACTGGACCTCTGAATTTGTTTTTTGTGTGCATTTAAGATTTTCTCATTAGCACAACGTGACTCAATATAATTGAGATATAATTATTAAAACTTTATATATTTGAAAATTCCAACTTTAGTTTTTAAAAAGTGAGTATAGCTAATTTTATATCAAATGTAAAAGGAAAACCATGATGGCAGAAAATTCAAAAGACGGGACATCAAATGATCCATGGAAGGAGAGCTGCAGACATGTAACAAGCATCTCCAAGACAGTTTCGTTTTGAGATTGTTACTTTTCAAAATTGCTTTGTTCAAGAATTTGCTCATTACTGAAGCTGTTAGAACAGGAAGCTTCCTTTGATTTTTCATAGCTACACATCATTTTATTACTCACCTGTATACACTTCCTTAATAGTTACCTCTATCAAAGGATTTTCACTTGCTAAACATCTTTAATAATCCCTTATACTGAATTTAGGATGAGTCACAAAGAACAGGATTTTTCTTTTTAGTGAGCCCAGTAGTTTTATAAGCTGTTGCCATAGTGCATATTTATGATATGCTAGGTATAACTTTGGAGTAAAAATGATACATAAGATAGGATAGATGTTCAATGAAGTTATTTGTATAATTTTTTTTAGCAGAAACTGCCATTACTTCATTAAAGCAGGCATTAAGAATAAGATTTTGATATTTTATTTGATAAGATGACTAATTCTAAAAGAAGTGCATTCAGTATTACTAAAGGAAATTCCACTTTGACTGAGAGAACTTCAGAAATGCAGTTGAGGAAAGTAAATCAACAGAGAGGTGATGAAGTTAGTCTCTGCCAGTAATAACTTACAGTCTTTTCTTCAAAGAATGGTGGCGACCATTTATTTCAGGTGAAAAGATGGGCAGAATCTGACAAGCCTCAGACATGAGAAGTATGTTGTCAATAAATGTTATTTACAATGGAAAGTTTCCATTGTATCTTTACATTATTCATGGACAACAAGGTAGCATTTGTTAAAATTTGAACACTTACTATGTGTCAAGTATTGAATGAAACATTTTCAATTTATTTTCTTCATTTTGTAAAAGATCTATAAGGTAGATTTTGAAAAATGATTAAGAGAGACAATATCTGTGTGTATGGGTATGACAGAGAGAGAGAGAGAGAGAGAGAGAGAGAGAGAGAGAGAGAGAGAGAGAGACAGAGAGACAGAGACAGAGACAGAAGAACAAGAAACAGATACAAGAGAGAAAGAAAAGGGAGAGGTTAAGTTGCCCTGTTTAAATTCATTAGGTCTAACTGCAATGGAACACCCATCTCTGATAAAACAAAACAAAAAAGGGGGATATAAATAAAGGACCATTTTGTTGTGAAAAAAAAAAACCAAAAAAAAAAATGTATACACAAGATAGGATATACAGCTACTTTCTCTTAGTTCATTGAGAAGAAAGGTTTGTACTAATATTGTCTAGACAAGATATCATGTCTGCATCTTGTCCTCTGAATAACTACTATGAAGATAACAATATGCAATGTATTAATTATTGCAACTGTCCTACTAACTTGTTTCATTGCTATTTTATCTTTTTTCTCATTAAAATAAATTTTAAAAAAAGAAAAAGAAAATTACAAAGGCCCCGACCTGCAATGCCCCCCCCCCCCGCCCAGCCTGCTCTTCCCACCGGGCTATGCCGCACCTCTCACATACTCAGGCTTCGTGAGGAAAGTCACACTTACATTTTTTTTTTTATGCTGTGAAATCTTAATTTAAGAAATAATTCAACAATGTGCATGTTATTTTAATTTCTGTCTATATGATTGATTATAAAAAATCTACACTGCTGGTTCCATATTGTAATATTAAAAGAAATTTTAACAAGTAACTTGGTTATAAAGTGTGCTTTTCTCTGTCAATTTTTGCAATAAATGTATAAGGATGTAAGAATGCCTCTTGGTTTCATTGGAAATAATGATTGTTTTAGCCTAAATAAATTTTACTTAGATTTATTTCATACTTATTTGACAATAGATTGCAGTATAATTTACATGGAATGCATATAGTATACACTGTTAGATACAAGAATCATTTCATAGATCTATACTTTCCTTTCTTTGTGTATAAGGTAACAGAGATGAAAGCCAAGCCTTCACACTAAGCTACAGGTGCAGCCTACTTATTCCAAATTTTGAGACAGGGTCTTGCTAAGTTGCTGAATTTCCCAGGGTGGACTAGAATTTGGGATTTTCCTACTTTAGCCTCCCAAAGTGCTGATATTACAGGCATGTACCACCAGTCCTGGCTCTAATATTTTTTTAGTTGATAAATCATAATGATATATGTTTATATATTTAAAGTTTCAGAGAGATAAAATCTAGTATTTCTAGGTAGAGGATTTGCAGGGCCTACAGAGTCTTACTATGTAGTTTGGACTCGTAGTGATTCTCCTGTTTTCAGACTCCAAAATGCTGGGATTACAGGTGAAATGAATAATTAACAATGGCTACATGAAAGTATATCCTGATATTCATGCATGTGAAATAAAACTGGCAAAGCTAGGCCATATGAACCAAATATAGGATGTGAAACCAGGTACTGTAATTTCATTTCATTTTATTATTTTATTTATTTATTTATTTGCAGAACCAGGGATTTAACTCAAGCCCTTCCACTTGCCAGGCAAGTGCTTATTCTATTGAGCCATCTCCCTCTCCCTGTTATAATTGTGTTGGCCTGAGGGTGTTGTTACTGAGATCTTAGTTTCAGTTCTGGTTTTGACGTTTGGTATAGTTTTGTTTTGTTTTTTGTACCAGGGATAGAACTCAGGACCTTGTACCTGCCGGGCAGGTAATTATGCTGCTGAACTATCTCCCCAGCTGAGATACTGTAATTTTAAATTGTGTTCATGTACTTGAGAGTTACTGGCTACTACCTAGTGCATAGTTAAGTTTCAAACACATTGCACTGCATTATGAAGCTCCACATTTTATAAAACACATCATCTAACTAGAATACACAAGAAAAAGGAATCCGGATCGTGGTGGAGTTAGAGATGCTCCAGCAGAAGGAAAAGTAGAGAAACTGAAGATGTGCAGCCAAAGAGATTAAAAGAAAACAGGAAATACGGGGTAAGTAGAAGTAGTATTATAGCTATGTCTGTCTGTCTGTCTGTCTGTCTGTCTGTCTGTCTGTCTTTTTCTCTGTCTCTGTCTCTGTCTCTGTCTCTGTCTCTCTCTCTCTCTCTCTCTCTCTCTCTCTCTCTCTCTATGTTGTTGTAGACATCAAAATTAGGACAAATGGATCAAATTTATGGGTAAGTATATTTTCAGAATATAAGGAAAGATTTCCTAACAAAGATGCCTAGGTCTGGAACAAGTTGCTTTCTGAAATATACTCCCCCTCAGTGGAAGAGTACAGAGGGCTGCTGGCCACCTGTCAGGGATGTGATGAACAGAATTCCAAGGAGATAAGTGGGTGGACAAAGATCCTGTAACTTTCAGATTTTAATAAACGACACAACAGAGGAAGCTGTCTTCCTCCTCACAAATCCATCACCCACCAGGGAGTGAGGAACATTTCTCATGGAGTCTTCCATAAATGTCATTTTAACTAAATGGATAAAAAGTGGAGAATTTAAAGAGCTATGTATGAGAAACAAAGGAATGAGAAGTCAATGGAAAAGGAAAGGGACCATTTAAAAATGTGTTTCAAATAAAGAGTTTCAGAAATTAGAAAATAATGGACCATTTAATCTGTTCTATGTGATGAAAACTGAATGCAGTCTTAGGCTACATGGCATTTACCAAGACGCTTGAAGAAATTCTCCTCCTCTTCCCTTCCATTTTCCATTCCACTCCCGGGCCCCCCTTCAGAGAGCTTCACAGCACTGGTAAACTTGACCTGAGAAGAAAAGGAGTTAGGGACTATGTTCAAAGACAAATCTTAGGGTTAACCTCTGATATGAAAAGTCTTAGAATATTAAGATTATTTCATTGACTTCAATGGCTGGGTAGTTTTGTCAATGTATTTCATTCCCATGTGCTAAAAAAAAAAATCCCTGTAAATACATTTAGTCAGAGAACCAAGTTCAGAGATGAAAAACTAGATAATCAAGCACGCTAGAAGTAATTCAGTGAACAACTGAGACACTCAGAGAGCTTAATTCTGATAAAGTTCAAAATTATATGTTTATATAAGTGCCCCCTCCTATGATAGCTTATGACTTAAACATGTTAATTTTTATTGCTTGTCTAGGTTGCCAAAATTTGCTCAACTCTAGAGTTTCTTTGGGTCTTCTTTATTCGGCCCCCTACAGGTGTTTAGCATTTCTCAGCACGGACAGTTTTCTGCCAGTGACTGCTATGGTGGCTTCCATGAACACTATTCCCTTTACCTTGGAACTCTGCCTGATGAAGGACAGGCGGTCCACGGAGCTGATGTCCAGAAGGTCCTCCACACCATCCGCCAGGCCAGAGAGGGACGAGCGTTTCAGCCAGTTTCCTATTCAATCATTTTTTTAAAAACCGATGTTAGAACATTTGCCCTCAACTGAATTAAACAGCAATGTCACTATGTACTAGGAAGCAATGAAAGTTACATGGCTTTGCAAGAAATAGAACCAAAAACAAACTGTTTTTGATGTATGTATTTTGATTCAAATTGGTCAGTATTACACTATAAAATTACGTGAGTGAATATGACCAGGATGAAAAGAACCTGGACCTCCCCAGTGAACAATAGCATGATCCATCTACTTATTCTTACAACTTTGACATCTCCCACAACAGCCTGTTCATCTTACCTCCTGAATATCTCTCCAATATGTCCACTTCTCTCTGTGTACCTAGTCACCCAGGCCAAGTATCTATTCACTTGTCCCTGGTCTACTAAGAGGACTTTCCATCTATTCTCCTTTGTCTATGAATATTTCTTCCCATATGAATTCCACACAATGAATAGAGAAAGCATAGCCACTTATGATGAAGAACCTACCTGACCTGCACGTCCTTCATGCCCTGTGATGCATCCACTCTTCCTCTCATCCCCTTTATCCTGTTATCTGTGCATTTGGCACTACCTGAAGTGCTTACATTGTTCCTTTTAAGTATCCTGCCAATGATCTGAATGTCCCTGCGTCCAGGAAATCTTCCCTGATTTTTCACTCCTCTTTCCCTTTAGGTCAGGAGTCATTACATACTTGTGCAGCACTATGTGCAGAGCCTTCATAAGATTCATAGTTTGCTACTATACTTAGTCGTTCAATTATCTGCTTTAGTGACTGTGGCTCTAACTCTATTGCAAGTTCAGCAAAGTTAGGGGGCTGTGTTTTGCTCACAGCTTAGTCTCTGATGCCTGGTATAGTATGTGCACACCACAGAGGCACATGGTAAGGTCCAAGAAATATTCATAGAAACAAAAAATGGATGGATGATGGATGGATGGATGGATGGCGTAGTAAGCCTAGGTCTTGTGACTGGAAAGCTTTCTTTCTCTGTATCCCACCATGCACTGCACTGCTTTGATTGTGAAGTGATTTAAGGACATGGCAGGCAAGAGAGAGGTCATAAAGAAGTCCAGACATACTTTTACCTATGGGGAGTTTGAGCTTCTTCCGGAGGGAAATTCTGCGGGACCGTGAGCGGGTGCGCCTGTCCGAGGTGTTCCCTGAATGGGCCGTGGTGCATTCGGAAGTGTCCTGCTCTGATTGGCTGCTGGTGTCGCTGGCTGCACTCTGCGATTTGAACATCTTGCGCCAGAAATCTTTTCGCCCCAGGTTGGCCCCTTGCATTTGTTCATCACTGTGAGCAAGAAGAGAATAGAATGAGATATCCGGCCACCGTGGGGACGGTCTCCTCCGTTTCTCTCAACCTCCTGCCAATGTTATTTACGCAGATCCCGGAGAATGATCTTCCACAAGCTGGATATGGAAGAGTGGGTGGCTGAGCAGGAGGTGGGAGATAAGGTTCCAGCTGAACTTTTCTGAAAATAGTCCTATCTCAGCTATCAAACGGGGCTGACTGTTATTCTCAACTTTAATAAAAAGACTATTATTGCAGTTGTTCACCTGCGGTGAGTCATAATAACAGAAACACTGAAAATGTCAGGGAATATTTAATTTTATTTAAAGCTCCTGGGGGATGTGCTTTACTGCTCCTCGCGCCCCATTCCTCACCCCCGTGTAGTAAGATACGTGGCACTAAATATCATCATGGAAAGTACTTAAATGAATGAGATGTGATCATTATACCCAGGAACTACACCATCCCAGTCAACGAGTGAAAGAAACTTGCTCGGAGTTTGAAAGTGAACGACAGGTCCAACAATACAGGACAAACAGGAATATCCACAAGGGGATTTTTGACAGAGAGTTCCATAAAATGAAACAGACAAGTGGCCGATGACATGCAGAGTTTAATCTGGAATAATAATAAACTGCATAAAATAAAACTAATTTTCACTCACTAAGCTGACACAGATTAAGGGAGGGAGAAAGCAATGGTTATTGTCATACTACCAGTGGTGAGAGAAAAATGGTTCAATCTTTCTGGAATGTAATTTAGTAATTGTTTTTTTTTTTTTTTTTAGTAATATGTTTTTCAAAGCCTCATAGCAACACCTTTAACAAGAGATTCAACTTCCAGGAAGTAATCTCAGGAAATGATGGGACCACATATAAGATACAAGAAGGCTTTACTGGTCAACATGGAAAAAGCAGGAACATTCCGAATGTTTAGCTCTAAGGAACTAGATGAAGCATTTCTCGTCATGAGGGCATGCTACGAATAGAAAAATCCAGAGGCTCTACTTTATCAACCTTTTCAATAAAATGCTACATCAGCTTTGCTCAAAAGGTGTCAGAAAAATGCATCATAAAGCCACTTTTAATATTGTCAGTGTGTGTGTGTGTGTGTGTGTGTGTGTGTGTGTACGTTTTTACATGAAAAAGGATATGACAGAGTAAGAAGTACAGAAAGAGAAATAGAAAGAAGGTAGAGAAAAAAGCAAAAAAATCACTCCCAGTGACCATCCACCCTTCTCCAGAACATTTCAGTATTTGGAATGTTCACCTTGTGAACCCAAACTTAGGTCATGGAAAAGTTCCACATTTAACATTTTATGACGTTCCTCAGAGTGAAAATATTTACATAGAGGCATATTCAAACATGAAGACTCATTTGGTAGAAGAACCAACATGTAGTAAATGCTAAGAAGTTAGGTAGTGGTTACAGAACACTGAACAAGAATATTTTATAATCTAAAAAACATCTATGAAAATAGATTTATTTTAAAATTCAATTTACTTTTTATATCATTCTCTTTTACCAGGTTAGCTCAAAAATTGCTGGTATAATTTGGAGAGGAAATCCTGTTTCCTCTTTTGAGCAGATTTTATGTGGATAAACTGATTTTATTCAGTGACATTCAAAATACTCAAAATCTTTTTTTTTCTTTTGCTATAGTTTAGATCATGTAACTTATTTAAAGAAAATAAAAGTTTAATGATAATGTGACAATTTGTCTTTTCAATATCAAATTATTCATTCATTCTTAAAAGAAGTATACAATAAGCCAAGCCCCACCATGGTGCTGAGGCTGAAACAGGAAACAAAGACTCATATGCCACCTGGAGCTATGTGCTTGCTCTACTTCTCTTTGCCTTTCTCTGCTCAGCAGTGACAGTCTGTAAGATTTTAACATGCTCCCAGAACTGCACAGACTTTCTGATTTGCTTGGTGTGGATTACCAAAATCCTGCCTAGTGGCTGTGTGCTCCTCAGTTTTCATTTCCTTGACAGTGGAGAACCGACACCATAGTTCCTAGCATATCCTGCCGAATTACTGGAAGGACAGTTTTCATAGTAAATAATGGTTTGATTTCGTCCTCTGAGAAGTGTGTGTTCATCTCCGATGCCCATTTCTGAATTGGGTCTTTTAATTTTGGGGTCCTAATGTTTTTTAGTTCTTTATAGAGAGCAAACGTTTGTCTGAGTGTCTATTAAGATTTTTTCAAAATTTGTGGGTTGTCTTTTCACTTTGTTGGTAGTTTCTTTTGACACTATAAAAACTTCTCAATAAGAGGAGGTCCCAGTTGTTAATTCTTTCAACTATTACCCATGCGATTTGATATTTTTTCATGAACTCTTTGCCTACCCCTATGTCTTTAAGAGTTCTTCCCACTTTTTCTTTCAAGAGATCTATTGTTTCTGTTTTAATGTTTAGATCTTTAATTCATTTTGACTTTAGCTTAGTGCATGGTGATAGATCTGGGTCAACTTTTAGGTTTTGGCAGTTTTTCCAGTGCCATCTGTCATTCTGGTCTTCTAAATATGTACTGCTTGTCATGTCATACCAATTACTGGCATACTGTCTCTTAAGGATATGTTTTTAAAAAAGGGTAATAAGTGAAAACAAGAGACAAGAAAAAAATATCATAGCACTGTCCTGCTACAATGCTGTATATGGTTATATTTCTAAACTTCTGTGTAAAAATATGTAATTGTTTATTGCTATTTTTTAGAATATTTTTAATTTTTTATTTTTCATATTCTGTAGGAACTTAAAGTTTAACATATCAATACTTGATGGAAAATACTTGTTCCATGTTATGTCTAAGATGTTTGATATTCAGACAGATAGTGAGGTTAAGTTCCACTGCCTACATTGTAAGGTAATAATAATACTAAGCTTCTCTTCCAGAGGGTTAACAATTTTGCAGACAAAAATTAGAGAAAAAGAAGGGCTGCAAGGACAACCAACATTTTGGCCCTAGCCTTTAAGGTCAGTGAGGACTCAGGACATAGGAGAACCTGTACTGTGACATCATGTAACTCAGTTGTGTCCCAAATTTTCTGATAAGGAGATTATGGGCCCACAGAGGAAAGTGATCGATGATGTAGAGTGTGCCTAAGGAGAGTTACATGGAAAGAAAACATTCTCTCAGGCTTTCACAGAGAGCAAATTGGTCAAGCAATGGCTACGACTCATCCACATGGCTGACACTGACAAAGGATCTAGAAACTGAGGTACAGGGTTTCAGGATAAATCCGGAGGGAATTTGACTGACCTTGTCAGATACAAAAGTTACATTTCTTGTTATATAGGTTTTGCTTTATCTTTCTCTTAACTATCCAGCAAAAAAGTATAAAAATGAAGTATAAAAAGTAAAGCCATATTAATATGCTGAGCTATAAAAGGCTCAAGTCAACAACTTCTGACTTTGCCAGTCCTACAGATAACCCACTACTATTATGGACTACTGGACTATATTGGATTATTTTGCTGAATTCACGCACTTAAATATTTAATTGACAATGGAATACTGTTCTCTGACAAAACTAAACAAAAAGGACCATTTTGTATCTGTATATTCAAAATAATTAGGATAGATATACAGCTACTACCCCTTAATTCAATGAATAGAAAGATTTGTACTGATAGTGTTTGTGGACAGGGAATCATGTCTGCATCTTGTACTATGGTTTTTTTTTTTTTTTTTTTTTTTTTTGGTTCCTCGAATGCCTTCAGGGCACTTTTGGCCAGCGGGAGAGGTGTGAGGTTCGAACTCCAGCAACCTGAGGCTGACAGCTTTGTGGAAGCAGCCACTTAAAGGCCTGAGCTAGGGCCAGGCCCCCTAATAAGGAATTTTTTTTTTTTTTGGTTCCTCCAATGCCTTCAGGGCACTTTTTGGCCAGCGGGAGAGGTGTGAGGTTCGAACTCCAGCAACCTGAGGCTGACAGCTTTGTGGAAGCAGCCACTTAAAGGCCTGAGCTAGGGCCAGGCCCCCTGCATCTTGTACTATGAATAAGTACTAAGAAGACAACAATATGCAAAGTATTAATTATTGAAACTGTCCTACTAATCGGTTTTGAAACTGTCTCATTGCTATTTGTTTCTCAATAAAATTATTTAAAAAATAATGGTTTGATGGCTCAACAAGGTGTACCTAAAATGATGTATGTGCCTTAAGTGCTGATTATTCCACCTATGGGTGAACAGCTCCCAAAAGAAGAGTGAAAGACAAAGAAATGAGCCTTGCAGAGAACTGGGTTGTAAGCTCAAAGTCTACAGTAACCATCATGTTTGGGTTTTACATTTTTATTTATTTTAGGAGATAATTTTTCAGGCTTAATCAGCTTTAGAAATGGGTTGTTTTATTTTCTATTCTTTCTCATAAGTACATGTTTCTAATACATAACAACTACATTTGTATTGGAGAACTGACATATAGACCTATGGCATGTTTGTAATTGCCCTGTCCTACATTATTCTTGTGCCTTCCCAGATCCTATTCTCCTCTCCCAAAAAGTCTGTCTCCTTGCTTTCTGCCTTCTTTCTTTCATTTTGCTGTTTAAATTATTTATATTTTGGGTTTGTCAGATAATTCATAACTTTCTGCATCTTATTTATTTCACTTAGAATTAGGGTCTCAAGATCCATCTGTTTTCCTAAAAATGATTTATATTTATCCTTGTTTAATGCAGTAGCACTCTATACTTCTTTATCGATTCACTTGTCGATGGGCATATACACTGCTTCCACAGCTTTGCTATTGTGCATTGTACTGCTATATATATATGGGTGTAAGCCTTCTGAGGACAATACCCAGGAGATACGTAGCTGGGTCAAACAGAATGACTATTTTTAGTTTTGTTCAGTAGTCTCCATATTGATTTCCATAGTGGTGGTACTGTACTAGCTTATATTCCCATCAACAATGTACAATGATTCTTTTCCCCCACATCCTCATCCACATTCTTTTTTGAGGCCTTCAAGATAACTGATCTTAATAGAGTAAGACAGATTTTCAGTGTTCTTTTGCTTTTCATTTCTTTAGTGGCTAAAAATGCTGAATACTTGTTCAAATACCCACTGGCTATTTATACTTCTTTTGAGAAGTGTCTGTTGACTTCAGTTGCCTGGTTTTCTTGATTTGGGTCTTTTGTTTCTAAAAATTCTTTAAATCCTTTAAATTTTAGCCCTCTGTTCAAGGGGTAACAATTAAAAAAATCTTTTTTCCCAATCTGTAGGTCATCTTTTCACTCTGTTAATGGTTTCCTTTATTATGCACACATTCTTATATTTAAGATAATCCTATTTGTTAGTAGCATTATTTCTTGTACAACTTGGGTTCTGTTCAGATAAACTATTCCATGCCTTTTTCTTAAGTGTTTTACCTATTTTATCTTCCCATAAATTCAGTACTCCTATTTTCATAGCTCTCTGATCCATTTTTATTACATTATAGTGCCGGGTGGAAAACTACATTAATTCTTCCACATGTAGATAACTAGTTTTCCCAGCACTATTTGTTAAAAGGATGTCTTTCCTCTCGTGCAGGCATCTGTTAAGTCCATTTTTTTGGTAGTGTGGCTAAACTCTGATATTTCTTTGTTGATTCTTTCTGGTTGACTTGTTTCTGAGAGTAGATATTGAAGGCCCTCCCATGGCAGTAATAGTCTCTACCTGTCCTTTACTGTCCAGTAGCTTTTGTTTTATGAAACTGGATTGCAGACATTTGGTGTGTATGTTCTTACAGCTGTTATTTTTTTTTCGGCTGAATTGTTCCTTTTGCTAGTACTTTCTTTTTCTGTACTGATCAGTTTGGCTTCAAGTTCTCCTTGTTTAAAATTAGGACAGCTACTGATATATGCTTTCAGGCTCTGGTTGCAGGAAGTTTCATTTGTCATTCTTTCACTTGCAGTTTATAGGTGTTCATTTGCTTACTTTGGTCAGCTGTGTCTCTTTCAGGCAACATATAGTTAGGTTTTATTTTTCAACCAATCTGTTAGGCAGAGTCCTTTGACAGGGGAGTTAAAACCATTTACAATAAACACTACTATTAAAAGGTACTTTCTCAGTCCTGTCATTGTATTATTTTTGTAGTGATAATTCCTTTGTGTCTTCCTTTTATAAACTACTCTCCCACTTAAAGGAATTTTTTTCTTTGGTTCTTTGATAATGTTGGCCTGGCTGCCTCTGTCCAGAATTCCCTTAATTACTTTCTTCAGTACTAACTGGGTGGTTGCTTAGGTTACCTTCTTGTCACTGAGACACAGTACCCAAAACTCACAATTTAAAGGAAGCAAGGTTTATTTTGGCTCACAGTTTGTAAAGGTTTTAGTTCATAGGTAGCTGGCTCCAAGGCAGGGCAGCATGGCAGAGGAGCATGGCAGAGGAGATGATACAGTCTATGGCAGGGTGGGCAGGAAACAGATAGATCGAGGGAGGAGAGAAAGGCAGACCTCTCTAGGCAATGCCCTCAGTGATCAATCTCCTCCAATGGGCTTCGCCTCAAAAATCACATTAAGTATAAATACATCAGTCAACTAATCCATTGATGATTGTCATGACCCCATGACCCAGTCACCTCCCAAAAGCTCCACCTGTGAGTGCCCCAGCCTTTGGGAGGATGTCTAGACATGAACTATAACAGTGGCCATGAATTTCTTTAGATTGTCTTTGCTGTGGAAAATTTTCTTCTCTCTGTCAATTTTGAGTGATAATTTTGCAAGACATAATAATCTGTTAGGCAATCATTTTCTTTCAGGGATTGAAAAGCTTTTATCCAAGCTCTGCTGGCCTGTTGAGAAATCTGTTTTTCTCATAGGCTAAACTTCATAAATTACTCATCATTTTTCTCACATAGCATTATAGTATTCTCTTTGTGCTAGACATCTGGGATTTTGAGTACGATGTGTATTGGGAAAATTCTTTTTTTTTATGTATTTAGTACAGGGTCTACGGGGGTCTCACTATATAGATTGGACTCATAGTGATTCTCCTATTTTCAGCCTCCTGATCTCTGGGATTACAGGCACCTGCCACCACCCCCAGACTCAATCTCTGTCTCAGAGTGCCCCAGGGGAGGGGCTGGCACAGCAGGTAATTCTTTACTGAGGTGTCATTCATGTCTTGCATTTTCTTCTTTAGTTCAACCAGCTGTTGCATATTCTTTAAGCTTGATGAACATCTTATTAATTAAACCCTTTATCTGCTTATTGATGTCCTCTTTGAGGTCACTGGTTACTTTATGCATTTGCTTATTCTTCCTTTAACCTCCTCCACATTTTAACATTTGGTTTTTGAGTTCTTATCCTGGAAAATTTTCCCAACTTCATTGCTAATGAGACCAGATTTGGGGGAGTTGGGAGGTTTGGGAGGCATCCTGTTGCCTTGTTTTCTCACATCTGCAGTGTTTTGGTATGGAAGGTTGAAGATGAGTAAGTGGAGAAAATTCTATGAGCTCTCTGGACATCTCCTGAGGCAGTTATATCGTCCCTGTGTTACAACCTTGACTTGGATCCATGTTTGGTGTTTGTGGACCTATTAACATACTAAGATCAGTTCTGGTCACTGCAATGCAAAAAGAGAAAAACTACTGATTCTGTCAGCATCGACAGAGCCAGCAGGACATCAATCATCTAATTTAAAATGTGTAAAAATCTCCCCTTTAAGCCCAGGAAGACAATGAAAAAGTACTGATGGCAAGGACATTGGGCGGCAGAGGATGAAGGAAGGAAAAAAGACAAAGAAAATACTCTGAAAAGAACAAAAAAAAAAAAAAAGAGAGAGAAGGGTGAATGAAAGAAAGAAAAGTGATAGAATTTGGTGATATTATTTTTATATATGAAATGGAGGGTGAGGAGAGAGGGAGTTTAGAGGTTATTTGCAGGACAGGAAAAAGGCAGGGGAGAGAGAAGTATAGCTGGGATAGAGAGATGCTGTAAGAAGCACAGGAACAGTGTGCTGGTAGAAAGCTTGCGTGCCAACCCTTCACGCACACCTTTAGGTGAGGGTGAACCTGAGGTGTACATGGAAGCCACTGTATGAGCCAAAACAAGAATTAATTCTTACCATTTCACATCTAGGAACACCTCACATATGTAGTCTAGGAGAGGAAGAAAGACCAAAAAAATTAAAGGAAAATGAAAAAAACAAAAATATGTTTTGTTGATGGTATTTGTGTCACACAAAAGCAGGGGAGAGAGGTGAGACTTGGGAGGGAGTGTGTTGGGGATGCAAGCCAAGAAGGGAAGAGGTTTAAGTGGAGAGAAGGGCCAGGGGTGCGGCTTAGCCCCTGCCAGGCAAGCGCAGCACCCTGGGTTCACCCTGAATTTGATTCCTGGTACCAAAAAATGCGTTAAGTGGAGAGTAGAGGAGGGTAGAGGAAATTGTGTCTGATGTAGAACCAAACCAGAAAAGGTACTTAGCTAAGCCTAAAAGGTACTTCAGCAGCCCCTGGTGTGGAAGAACCTAATGTGACTAGGTAACAAACTATAGAGAGGGCCAGTGAGATAGCTCAGCTTAGGCAAGCTTAGGCAAATCACAGAGACCGTGGTTCAATCCCTGGCACCACATGCAGTGCCAGCCCCGCCCCCAGGGTGGGCTGAGCCAGCCATAAACAAACAAACAAATAAACAAAAACCTATAGAGATAAAAGCATTCACTCTTTGTCCAGTGCTCTTTAGCATAGTGTCACTAATTCTTATGAACACACTGCTGCTCCCTTTAGCCTTTTCAGAAAGCAATACCAGATGACACACACACACACACACACACACACACACACACACACTCCACCAAGTAAATGTTCTTCTCAGTCCTGTTTATACCACAGACAAAATTCAACCAACATGCTCTTCTCCTTTAGTTCAAAACATAGATGCTTCATCTTGTAGAATTGGTGAGGTGCTGAGCTTTGGTCCTCTGTGTTTGTGACTGGGAGGGGTTGCGTGCATCAACTGCTACTTGAGCTGATCTCCTCTTGCCTGTCGGGGGGTGAAGAGCTGGGAGATCTAGATGGGCTATGGACTGCTTCTTGTTTCCTCTGCAGACAGACTTACCAACATCTTGTGAGCGACTCCTCCGTGCCTGCGGAGCCCTGCTGCTGCTAACCCACCCCGAAGCTGCTTCAGTCCTCACATGTTGTGAGGCTGCTCATAGATGGTTTGATTTTCACTGTCATGGATTGTGGAGAGGATGTGATATCAGAGGAATGGCCTTTGGGGGAGGACAAAGTGCGTGGGGAAGAACCTAGATTTTAGCTAAGACTGAGCCCTGGACAAGTTTATTTTACTTCTGCTTAGAAAAGCTTTAATGATCTTACTGATAGCCATTCACGTATTGGAAAAAAGGTAAGTGATTTTAAGCAAGACAGTAGCTGATATGCATGCTGTTTTTAAAGATTTGTCTGAGGCAGTGTGTGTGAAAGGCAGAGTGAGGAACTGAGGAGATAAGAAAGGCCATAGGGGGACTCTTAGGAAGGCAAGACTGGTTATTTGGCTTGGTCTGGAGATGACAACAACTCTGGGAATGAAAAGTGAAAACAAGGCAAAGATCAAGGAAAATGATAAACTAGCAAAAACCCCCAAAAGCCAAAGTAACAACAGAACAGCAAGCAGCCGATTAGAAAATGAAAGTGTGAAGCGTTCAGACCTCTGCACAGCTCACACGATCTACTTACTGCTCCGGAGTCTGAGAGGGGCGGCCAGACAGGAAGCTGCGACATTCCTCTGGTGCTGCAGACACCTGGCCTTTATCCACAATGCTTCCAGCCTCTGACCTATACAAATGGTGCACTGTACCCATCACAACAGACCAGGATATCTACACTTCACATGTTCCATAAAGCAAAACCTCTATCATCCACAGTGTGTATGGCTCACCACCCCGGATCACTGTGAGCCTACATTTTCTGGGCTTTATGCCTTATAATGTGACCCACACTGACTTCTTGCCTATCGATACCACTGTTATTGCAGAATCCTTAACTACAAGCAGACTTTTGAATTTGGGTGTTTCTTTTCGTCTTCCTGAGTGGTATTTCATATATAATCAACATAAAATAAGTGTATGCTTACTAGAAGAATAATTAACATGGTGGCACTGTATAGCAATTTATCTCCTGCTACATTTAGAATATCACTGAACAGAATGATGTGGGTATCAGAAATTGCTCTTCCTATCTGGATAAAAATGTAAATTACACATAGAAGAGAATAAAATACACATTATTCAAAACTTTACCATATTATTAAGGACTATGAGGTGAAGTTCAAATATATGAAAATCTGAGGAAAATTGAGCTTTGATTATTATAGAAGTGGTATTTACTAAATAATAAACTAATTCCTTTTCTAAGGTGCAGTTCAACCATATCACTGACCCCACTTATGCAAGACAGCCTTCCCACGCTTTTACTATAGGTAATCACATCGCAGACCCCATAGCTAACATACTACACTTACTACACTGACATGAGAAATCACAGATACTTGGGGAGCCCAAGCTTCCAACCTTTTACTGCCTGCAGGCTTAGGCTCCTGCTCATTGTCCTCCACCTTCTTCCCTGGTGCTAACTTCTCAGCACTATCCAGCAAAGCACTAAGAGCCACTCTCCTGAAGACGTTTCCATGAGCTTCTTTGATAAACTGGACCAGCTGACGGATATCACAATACAGCCCCTGGTTGAAAGCAAGAGAAACGTTTGAGAAATGAAAAATGGCTGTGTGATTAGTGTCACTGGGAGAGAAGGAGAAGGTAATTCCTTGGGTTTAGATAAGCATTGGAATCATAGAAGTCAAATACTATTGTTGAAATTTATGGTATACTACTGTTCCCCTAGAATAATGCCAAGAACATTGCCAGTCATCCTTAGTATGAAAAAAGTGGTAACCATGTTTCATATTCAGAAAGTTGGCTAGAAAGACATCAGTGTATGTTTTTCATTGTTGAGTTCTCATTTAATTGTGAGTTAATGACAGTGCTTACAGAGAAAGGTAGATATAATTTTATTTAAAGAGTTCAGTCTCTGTTTATCTTCTTCAAATTTTGTGCATTATTATGACAAAAATGTTAATTCCTCCATGTACTGTAAACAAGGCCTGGTTATTCAAAAGATGTGGAATTTTGCTACATACTCACTTAGCAAGTAATATGGATGTTGTAGGCCACTTTAACCTGAACTTGACTATGAAGTTTGGGCTACAGGTGTACAAATATATTGCTGAGTCACCGCTTAAAAGTACACACAGGACTTGACATTTTAACTTTGCACCAGCTTTTCTTTATCTTTCTTCCTTAAAGAGGTACTGATTTTTCTTTCTTTTTTAAATTTTATTTATTTATTTATGTGTGTGTGTGTGTGTGTGTGTGGCCAGCTCAGCCCACCGGGGGCGGGGCTGGCTGGCATGTGGTGCTGGGGGATTGAACCGCGGTCCCTATCCTTTGCTAAGCTTGTTCTAAGTAGGTGCTTTAGACCACTGAGCCATCTCACCAGCCCCTGATTTTTCTTTTCTTTCTTTTTTTTTTTTTTTTTTTTTTTTTCTTTTTTTTTTTTTTTTTTGCCTGTTCATGGTAAGGCAGAATGAAAGGCCTAAAAACAACACCCAAAACCAAAAAATACCACTTAGCTTTCTAGTTTTAGCTGTGAAAACTTTAAGGCCATTGAGAAAATTATGCCTAAAATCTTTAGTAAAGCAGAAGAAATGACCCTGAAGAATGATGTGGTGAATGTCCCCTGGGGCTGTGGGGAGCAGAGCCCTGTGTATACCAGCGTGCTCCTCAGTGGCTCCTTTATAGAAGAGCTCTGTGGGAAAGGGCTAGATACCACAGAGGGAGGGTGCTGAACTCCTCAGAGAGCACCCATCCCGAAGTACACAGCAGAGAGCACTGTGTGTAATAACAGCTATGAACTCATGGCTGAACCTAGGAGTCTCCCCAGGCCCCGGATGTTGCCCCAGGTATGGGAATATTTGCATCACTCTGTGAAGTGGAGAATGACTGAAGTTTGATTTCTAGTCATTGTCACAGAATGGTGGATCAAAACCAAATTCACAATGATTTAAAGAAAATTAAGGCTCAAAACATTTCTCTAGTATATGAAGTTGTGGATAAAGATGGATAGTCCATTGACTGTAACTCATTTGATAAACTACTCAGAGCTATGACCAAAATGAGTGGATGATGCCTTATACACTGAAAGTTAAAAGGGCTTTAATGCCATTTAGTAATCCAAGACACAGTCTCATTGGTAGCAAATGAACACTAAACTTTTGCAGACTGGTTCTCCCGCCACACTACTTGTGACTTCAGTAGCTTAGCTAGCATAGTGTCTTATGAAGAACAGCTACAAGATTACAGCACTCAACGAAAGAAAATGAAAAGGAGTTTTAACAGTGGATGTGCATAAATTTTTAAAGTATGTATAGTTTAAAAAAATGGTATAATATCTTATGAACCAGTAAATGGTGCTCTAGCACCTTCTTTCT